AGAAGACTTACGTTTAATTTCTGAATCAAATGTATCCATAAAAATATTTGAATTCAGGTCCTCAGGATCGTTATGTTACTGGGATTCTTCAAAAGAAAATATACATGGTAAGATTTTTCATCGTATTAATTTTACAATAGTATAAATGAGAGAAATTATACCCTAGCCCATAAGAATTAACACTTTAGTTTCTGCACGTATATGCTGATTATTTGATGCTAGCAAAAGTAAGTCCGACGCAAAAAATATATATAGAAAAAAACTACCCCAAGTCGATAACAATTCAGCAAAATGACATCTAACGCGATGTAAGAGTTACAATATCTCCAGAAGAAATATTTGTAACACCAAGACTATCGATGCAAATATAATTGTTTGTATTAGAATGCAAGGATATTTATATGGAAAAATACATGTAGCAACATGATATAACGTCCTGATAATATTCTAATATTTATAATTATTAATTCTATCAGTACATTATTGATGAATATAACTATTAAAATCGAGAATAATTGAGGTGAAAGTTATAGAAAAAAAATAAGAATAAAAAATAATATGGTGTGTGCCCGCGATTTGAACTCGCCACGGCAAATCTACATCTCCAGAGCATCGCACCTTCACCATTACACTACAGCGGCTGATTACGTCACACAGGAGATTTTGTTAGTAATATAAATCAAAACCAACACACTTCGGATGTACACTGATTTTATTATGGGTGTGTGAATTGACATTTTAGTTTATATCTCGTATATAGGAACACTTTCTCATTTTTATATGTTAGTGTATGTTTTGAAAACAACACTGTAGCAAATACAGTTTTGCCATTATGTTTTTTCTGACGATAAATCCCTGCATTTTGTTTGGTTGCAAAATTCTATTTTTAGACGCAGACTCAGACAACGTTATTATGGAAAATACCGTTTATAAACAATAAAAGAAAAGGTTTTATTTTATTTTTTATACTTGTTATTGTATTTTTACTTACTGCATACTTATCAAAACACTAGCAATATCTACAATGACTATTTTTTCGAAGTCAGATCTGACGTCTGCTCATATGCACAAACGTAAACAAATCGCGACAATGTCGCGAATACACAACATGGATGTCTTCTACATAATATTGTTACATACCTGTTAAAGAAGTAGACAACTTCTACAAGATGTGCAGATGTGTTGACAGCTCTTCTACGTATACATACTTCAAATGTAGGCTGAAACTTGCAAGATCTTCTGTACGAGTTTAGACTAACGTACAATGTAGCGCATTAGACTCGGGCCTAGGAGATTGCAAAATCTAGGAGTTGTTACCATGGATATTTTTGTCATCTTTCAAAATACATTTTTTTTTCATTATTATTATCTAATTTTATTAACAAACATAAGTCAAGTCATTTTTCATGTTTTTGTCTTTTATTTCAGCATCCATTTACTTCCGCAATCTTGTAGTCGGTCTCGACGCTAACGTTACGCTGGGCAACGTCAAAATCTCACCAAAATCGTGAAATGTGGTTACAAATTCAGAAGATATTTGTTATTTTAAATACCTCCCCAGGCATGTACCAAAAAAATATTTGAGCATCGCAAACATAATGTGGAAATTGTTCTCATTGATAAATATAAAATTGGTACACCCTTGGGGAGGTAGTTAATTTTTCGTTCAAAGTCATAAAATATCGAAAAAAATCGTGACTTTTTGTAAACGTGACGTTTTCCCGCGAAATTTGTGACGTCATCACACGCGTTATGAACCTATTTTTATCTGCATTTCAACTGATAAGTTGTTAAATAACACAAATGGGTACATGATTAAAGAATTTTCTAACAATTAAAAAAAAGATTTTTTGAGGCCAATTTTGAGCCAAAGTGCATCTACTCCTTTGGTGAACTTTATGTTAGTATGTCTGGTAGTTCCGTTAATGCTAAGCTTCATTTGATATGGTAACGCTACTTACTCGATATCGACCATGGCGTGTTATCGGGTTCCGTCTATGAAAAAAAGAGATGTTTAACCTTCCGTAATAACTGCTCGTATTCTCCTTGTCTTTTCTTTTTTGTTTTATTGTTGCTTAATATCTTATCAACAGCTAAGGTCATTTAAGGACGTCCTAGGTCTGGGCAGTGGAAAATAAATAACACTCCTGAATACAAATGGCTTTTATCCAGACGTTTTGTAGGACATTGAAGATACCAGGACACCCCTTTCCACATTGCCTGTCATGGCTTTGGGTAACATCTCCTCCTAATTTGAACACCTGCCGTCCGTGAAGGATTATAGGAATATCGAAGAGCTCAGCTTATTGAAACAACCTATATATCCTACATTTCCAACACATTCTACTAAAAATGTTAGTGTTAACAATGTTCCACTCAATTAAATGTATGTTTATGTTAGCAATGTACCACTCAGTTTAATGATGTTGATTTCACCAATGTAACACTTAGATAAATGTTTGTTGATGTCAACAATTCACTACTCACTCAGATGTTTGTTGATGTCAACAATGTAGTATTCAATTAAATGTATGTTTATGTAAACAATGTAACACTCAGTTAAATGTATGTTTATCTAAAATGTAACACTCAGTTTAATAATGTTCGTGTCAACAATGTAACCCTGAAGTAACCATCGATGTCTCTTAAAGTATATAATATAGATAACAACCGACAACAAGTTGGTATAATGTTTTATTAAAATGTTTTCCTTGTACACAGACCAGAGACATAAGTAACAATGCTTTTCGGTTAAATCAATAAATAAACGGACAATCTATAAGATACAGATATAATATAATGATATGAAAGCACCTTGCATACTACATGTATGATAAAGGCAAAGCACACAGATATTTAATTATCAATATCACATCGGCTCTGTGTAGATGCCATATACAATACTTAAAAGTCAAATGTAAACACGATCACCCATGGACAGTTTTATGTAGTTACAATAACCCAATGACAGCCTTATGTAGCTGCAATAACCTATAACCAGACTTTTGTAACTACAATGCCTCATGGACAGTCTAACGTAGACACAATAACCCATATACAGTGTTACGTAGACACAATAACCCATGGGCAATCATGTAGCTACAATAACCCATGACCAGACTTGTGTAACTACAATGCCGCATGGACAGTCTAACGTAGACGCAATAACCCATATACAGAGTAACGTAAACACAATAACCCATGGACAGTGATGTAGCTACAATAACACATGGACAGTCTAACGTAGCTACAATAACCCATTGATAGTCTTACGTAGCTACAATAACCCATGGATAGTCTTACGTAGCTACAATAACCCATGACCAGTGTAACGTAGACACAATAACCCATGACGTTCTGAAGAAGATGTGACATTTTACATATACCCGACGTAGTAGATTTTCTAACCTTGTCTTCCTGAAATTTTTCATAAAATTTCCTATTTAGCATATCATCACAATCTGAACTGTCTACAATAGCCCAAAGACAGTCCTAGCTGTCTACAATAACCCAGAGACAGTCTGAATTATCTATAATAATACTGAGACAGTCTGAACTGTCTACAATAACCCTGAGACAGTCTTAGCTGTCTACAATAATCCAGACACAGTCTTAGCTGTCTACAATAACCCTGAGACAGTCTTAGCTGTCTACAATAATCCAGACACAGTCTTAGATGTCTACAATAACCCTGAGACAGTCTTAGCTGTCTACAATAATCCAGACACAGTCTTAGCTGTCTACAATAACCCAGAGACAATCCGAACTGTCTACAATAACCCAGAGACAATCTGAACTGTCTACAATAACCCAGAGACAGTCTCAACTGTCTACAATAACCCAGAGACAATCTGAACTGTCTACAATAACCCAGAGACAGTCTCAACTGTCTACAATAACACAGAGACAATCTGAACTGTCTACAATAACCCAGAGACAGTCTCAACTGTCTACAATAACCCAGAGACAATCTGAACTGTCTACAATAACCCAGAGACAGTCTCAACTGTCTACAATAACACTGAGACAGTCTCAACTGTCTTCAATAACCCAGAGACAATCCGAACTGTCTACAATAACCCAGAGACAATCCGAACTGTCTACAATAACCCAGAGACAATCTGAACTGTCTACAATAACCCAGAGACAGTCTCAACTGTCTACAATAACCCAGAGACAATCTGAACTGTCTACAATAACCCAGAGACAGTCTCAACTGTCTACAATAACCCAGAGACAGTCTCAACTGTCTACAATAACCCAGAGACAGTCTCAACTGTCTACAATAACACTGAGACAATCTGAACTGTCTACAATAACCCCGTGACAGTCTGAACTGTCTACAATAACACTGAGACAATTTTAAATGTCTACAATAACCCATACTCTGAAACAATACCCACAAATAGTGTAATGTATCTGATTTAGCTTCAATAACCCACAAACATACATTGTAAGGATGTAAGCTGAGAGTATACACACCCGACTTCCAGTATTTCCTCTGAAAGAATACCACGTGTTCTAATGAAACGAACGTTACATCTTAACAGGTTAGGTCACGTGATGGACACTGTCTGCATCAAAGTATAGAAACTATCTGCATTTGTCACAAAATTGACGCTGGCGCAGTCTATATCACACAAATGACACTGACTCTGTCTGTAACACATATTTGATGTCGTTTGTTTAACATAGAGTGTAAATGACTCTGTCTATATCAGAACATGGACACGGTATATAAACATTGCCGAGGTTATCAAGGTCGTATGTTGGAGGATAAGTTAAAGAATGTTATTTTAGAACCTGTTATGTATGGCACGAATTAATTTTTATTGTTTATTGAGACAGACATCATTGTAGCAAATTAATGTCTTCTAACGAATAAATGGTGGCTGTAATATATAAGTTATAAGCTTATAAACGAAACTGAAATCTATTTTTCATTTTTCATGCAAATATACGAAACTATGGCTGATTTAGTGTTACTTTAAAGTACGAAACTATGACTGGTTCATCACTTCAAACGAATCCAAGGTCAGTTCTTTGCTGTCCTTGTGACATTGATTGACCACAGTGGCTACCTCTCCACGTCCCATATCACGAAGGGCGGTTGATAAGCGATCTACAGCGCCATCTTTTTTGTCTTTCATCTGACGCTTCCAGTACAGAAGGATTTTATACGTCACGTCAGCCATGCTTAGACCGTTTGATATTGCGTCGAAACCAAGTCCGGTGATGGTGCTGTCCGGAAGATCTAGATGCACAGCTAACGTAAGTCCTTCCGGAACTAGTCTTGATAAAGTCCGTAAACTTTTACCGGAAATCGTCTTTGATTCTTTTTCCACTGTAAGATCAAATCAAACACCATATAAAATGAAAATACTTATAGAAAGGGGTAAAATAAATTGCACAGTTTTTTTCTAATCTTTTCACAACGAAGGAAATAGCTAGTTAACTTATAGCACTGACCCAAACAAGCCTTCACCTGCTATCCATATTAAGTCATTTTACCTCCCAAACTAACTCTGGAGATTTAATCATTTACCTCCCAAACTAGCTCTAGAGATTTAATCATTTACCTCCCAAACTAACTCTAGAGATTTAATCATTTACCTCCCAAACTAACTCTAGAGTTTTAATCATTTACCTCCCAAACTAACTCTAGAGATTTAATCATTTACCTCCCAAACTAACTCTAGAGATTTAATCATTTACCTCCCAAACTAACTCTAGAGATTTAATCATTTACCTCCCAAACTAACTCTAGAGATTTAATCATTTACCTCCCAAACTAACTCTGGAGATTTAATCATTTACCTCCCAAACTAACTCTAGAGATAATCATTTACCTCCCAAACTAACTCTGGAGATTTAATCATTTACCTCCAAACAGAGATTTAATCATTTACCTCCCAAACTAACTCTAGAGATTTAATCATTTACCTCCCAAAAACTAGATTTAATCATTTACCTCCCAAACTAACTCTGGAGATTTAATCATTTACCTCCCAAACTAACTCTAGAGATTTAATCATTTACCTCCCAAACTAACTCTAGATTTAGATTTAACTCTAGAGATTTAATCATTTACCTCCCAAACTAACTCTAGAGATTTAATCATTTACCTCCCAAACTAACTCTAGATTTAAGATTTAATCATTTATCATTTACCCCAAACTAACTCTCTAGAGATTTAATCATTTACCTCCCAAACTAACTCTAGAGATTTAATCATTTACCTCCCAAACTAACTCTAGAGATTTAATCATTTACCTCCCAAACTAACTCTAGAGATTTAATCATTTACCTCCCAAACTAACTCTAGAGATTTAATCATTTACCTCCCAAACTAACTCTACAGATTTAATCATTTACCTCCCAAACTAACTCTAGAGATTTAATCATTTACCTCCCAAACTAACTCTAGAGATTTAATCATTTACCTCCCAAACTAACTCTAGAGATTTAATCATTTACCTCCCAAACTAACTCTAGAGATTTAATCATTTACCTCCCAAACTAACTCTAGAGATTTAATCATTTACCTCCCAAACTAACTCTGGAGATTTAATCATTTACCTCCCAAACTAACTCTATAGATTTAATCATTTACCTTCACAACTAACTCTAGAGTTTTAATCATTTACCTCCACAAACTAACTCTGGAGATTTAATCATTTACCTCCCAAACTAACTCTGGAGATTTAATCATTTACCTCCCAAACTAACTCTAGATATTTAATCATTTATCTCCCAAACTAACTCTAGAGATTTAATCATTTACCTCCCAAACTAACTCTTGAGATTTAATCATTTACCTCCCAAACTAACTCTAGAGATTTAATCATTTACCTCCCAAACTAACTCTAGAGATTTAATCATTTACCTCCCAAACTAACTCTAGAGATTTAATCATTTACCTCCCAAACTAACTCTAATCATTTACCTCCCAAACTTACTACTAACTCTGGAGATTTAATCATTTACCTCCCAAACTAACTCTAGAGATTTAATCATTTACCTCCCAAACTAACTCTAGAGATTTAATCATTTACCTCCCAAACTAACTCTATAGATTTAATCATTTACCTCCCAAACTAACTCTGGAGATTTAATCATTTACCTCCCAAACTAACTCTAGAGATTTAATCATTTACCTCCCAAACTAACTCTAGAGATTTAATCATTTACCTCCCAAACTAACTCTGGAGATTTAATCATTTACCTCCCAAACTAACTCTGGAGATTTAATCATTTACCTCCCAAACTAACTCTGGAGATTTAATCATTTACCTCCCAAACTAACTCTAGAGATTTAATCATTTACCTCCCAAACTAACTCTAGAGATTTAATCATTTACCTCCCAAACTAACTCTGGAGATTTAATCATTTACCTCCCAAACTAACTCTAGAGATTTAATCATTTACCTCCCAAACTAGCTCTAGAGATTTAGTCATTTACCTCCCAAACTAGCTCTGGAGATTTAATCATTTACCTCCCAAACTAACTCTAGAGATTTAATCATTTACCTCCCAAACTAACTCTGGAGATTTAATCATTTACCTCCCAAACTAACTCTAGAGATTTAATCATTTACCTCCCAAACTAACTCTGGAGATTTAATCATTTACCTCCCAAACTAACTCTACAGATTTAATCATTTACCTCCCAAACTAACTCTGTAGATTTAATCATTTATCTCCCAAACTAACTCTGGAGATTTAATCATTTACCTCCCAAACTAACTCTAGAGATTTAATCATTTACCTCCCAAACTAACTCTAGAGATTTAATCATTTACCTCCCAAACTAACTCTGGAGATTTAATCATTTACCTCCCAAACTAGCTCTGGAGATTTAATCATTTACCTCCCAAACTAACTCTAGAGATTTAATCATTTACCTCCCAAACTAACTCTACAGATTTAATCATTTACCTCCCAAACTAACTCTAGAGATTTAATCATTTACCTCCCAAACTAACTCTAGAGATTTAATCATTTACCTCCCAAACTAACTCAAGATTTAACAAACTAACTCTGGAGATTTAATCATTTACCTCCCAAACTAACTCTGGAGATTTAATCATTTACCTCCCAAACTAACTCTAGAGATTTAATCATTTACCTCCCAAACTAACTCTGGAGATTTAATCATTTACCTCCCAAACTAGCTCTAGAGATTTAATCATTTACCTCCCAAACTAACTCTACAGATTTAGTCATTTACCTCCCAAACTAACTCTGGAGATTTAATCATTTACCTCCCAAATCATTTACATCCCAAAACTAACTCTAGAGATTTAATCATTTACCTCCCAAACTAACTCTGGAGATTTAATCATTTACCTCCCAAACTAGCTCTAGAGATTTAATCATTTACCTCCCAAACTAACTCTAGAGATTTAATCATTTACCTCCCAAACTAACTCTAGAGATTTAATCATTTACCTCCCAAACTAACTCTACTGGAGATTTAATCATTTACCTCCCAAACTAACTCTAGAGATTTAATCATTTACCTCCCAAACTAACTCTGGAGATTTAATCATTTACCTCACAAACTAACTCTAGAGATTTAATCATTTACCTCCCAAACTAAGCAGATTTAATCATTTATCTGTTAAATACTACATTAATTAAAAATCGATTCCTTTAAAGTGTTATCACTTGTTACAAGGAAAATAAATCTTTGATACCCAATAGTTTGACAATGACATAACAGTGGTATTTTACCTATAATAGGTTTCCTGCTCGTCTTCATCAGACGTTCCATTACTGTCGCCGGAAGTGGTTTGAATTTAGGAATTGTGGGTATAAGAGGTTTCTCTTCCTTCACAGTATTCATCATTAGCAGGTCGAGGTTTGGCTTTTCTTTCACTGGTTCGGGTTCTTCCGGTACAAATTCTGGCCGGAAGTAAGCTTTAACTGCCTCTTCGTCTATATCAATCTTCAAGGTGAAGGTCGAAGCTTCCTTCATTCTAGCATCACCCTCCATATTTAGAGGGATGAGATTTATTGCACCACTTATTGCTTTTTCGTCGTTATTTTTCGGCTCGATTATAAATTTCCGACAACTATCTGGCAGATGCCGGAAGTACTGAAAGTCCTTGTTTTCCATATAGTCACTGTCAAAACTCACCTTGATATCCTCTACCACTTCCATTGTCCATTTCATACCGTCAAACAGCTCAAACCCTTGTATCTCCTTCACTTTATTTTGTTTTGGCTGTGATCTCCGGAATCCTTTATTCTCGACTACTTCCTCTCGACGGAGAATCTGCTTCCCAATATGTTTGAATCCCCGGTCTTTCATTTCTTTAATCCGAGTCTCTGTTTTACTTTGAGGAAAACACTCGAGCACTACGAACCATAGCTTCTCTTGGATGTTTAAAAATGCGATTACCTCCCCTTTTTCTTTATCACTCCTTCCTTCCACGATTGGCACTGCCGCTAACACTCTTTTTGCACGATCGGGCTTGGTCTGTACGATACAGAACCTATAAATGAAATCAACACATTATAAATGTTTTTATCTATTCATATTAAAAATAGAGAAACCCTCGATGTGAATGTCCAATCTCTTCTTTTCCATTTTCATTTTTATACAATACAAGATGCCTTTTCTCGCGATCAGCATATAGTGGAAAATCGTCAGAGACCTGTTGAACTTGTCATATTGATTGATAAGAAACATCCATTGTGACGAAAACGTTCGAATAATGATTCTTAGTGCAGTGTAAAGTGTGATAGGGTCTATTGCATTTGTGTTTGTATTTACAATTGTAAGCCTATTTTACATGCAAATTAAATCTTGTTTAATTGTTGACATTTCTTGGTGATAAGTTTTATGGCTATTTAGTGACAAAAACGATAGCTCTGAAAAAAAAGTGTGAAGAAGATGTCTTGGGTCCTTGCTGTCACGAAAATCAGGAAGAACTATTTATTACCTTGACAAAGACTTCACGTCGAATGTCACTGTTGTCCGTGTGTATTTGTATTTACTTTCCACGAGCTCCCAACCTTTTTCTGTTTTCTGGAAAACGCCAATAGTGTTTGAACTTTCATCTTCAACCTCTACACCGCCCGGTAGAGGGAGCTTTACAGTCGCTGCCCTCCGGAAATTGCAAGGAATGCTGGGAATCAAATCTATAAACTCTGTAGTCTGAACAAGGTCGCAGAGCTCCGTTGGATAGAAGTCTTTAGCCAGCTCAAGCTTGTCTGGAGAGATGGGTGTGATCTGGAGACAGAAGTCGGTATTGATGATCAACAATTACAGCAAAACTTACATACAGCAAATATCGCTCACATCTTCAATTGTTATTATCATTATTACATTCTTAACGGCCCGTCAACACATTAAAGGTCATTAGGGCCATCAAATGGTAAAACACACAGCGATCCAATGGTTTTCCGTTTTGTCATCGTGATTTACGTCATCCATGTTTCAGTATTACAGAAAACATACGCAGATATGAAAAAAGACAGCAATAGTCACACAATTATGGATTAAAATAATCAAATGTTACCGTATTGAGAACACTCTAAACATTTTGGACGTACCTGGATCGCGCACTGGAAAGATTTGTCGGCAGCCTTCTTCGGGAACCGAATACTGATGTACCTACTAATGTGTGCGTTATACAGACAACCCTGGGGTGTGACGTCAAACAATTCCCTCTTTGGGGTGAAGGTCACCACGAAAATACCAAGACGGTCAATCTCCAGTTCCACGCACGGGGTCGAGCTATCCTCCTGTAAAACAATGATAAAAGAAATGACAAGAGTGATTTTACTGATGTTTTAAAAATCTTCGTGTAAATTGTTTAAAATCTTATTTTGTATTTAAAGAATGCTGAAAGAGGGCATCGGTATTCGAAAGAATGAATGTCCGATGTCTCTACAAGAGACAAATTGTTTATTGACGCTTCGATAAAAGTTACTCGCGCCAAGAGAATTAGTTTAAACATGTGACTTCAGTCGGATTGAGACGTACACTAACATTGTCAATCAAGTTTAAACATGTTATGTCTAAACTGTGTTGGATAATTAAGACAGAACTGATTCATGCTATGTCTAAACTATGCTGGATAATTAAGAAAGAACTGATTTTATGTCTAAACCATGTTGGATAATTAAGACAGAACTGATACATGTTATGTCTAAACCATGTTGGATAATTAAGACAGAACTGATTCATGTTATGTCTAAACTGTGTTGGATAATTAAGACAGAACTGATTCATGATATGTCTAAACTATGCTGGATAATTAAGACAGAACTGATTAATGTTATGTCTAAACCATGTTTGATGGTTAAGACATAACTGATACATGTTATGTCTAAACTATGCTGGATAATTAAGACAGAACTGATTAATATTATGTCTATACCATGTTGGATAATTAAGACAGAACTGATTCATGTTATGTCTAAACTGTGTTGGATAATTAAGACAGAACTGATTCATGATATGTCTAAACTATGCTGGATAATTAAGACAGAACTGATTCATGCTATGTCTAAACTATGCTGGATAATTAAGACAGAACTGATTAATGTTATGTCTAAACCATGTTGGATAATTAAGACAGAACTGATTCATGTTATGTCTAAACTGTGTTTGATAATTAAGACAGAACTGATTCATGTTATGTCTAAACTGTGTTGGATAATTAAGACAGAACTGATACGTGTTATGTCTAAACTATGTTAAGACAGAACTGATACATGTTATGTCTAAACAATGTTTGATAATCAAGACAGAACTGATTCATGTTATGTCTAATCTATGTTTGATAATTAAGACATAACTGATTCATGTTATGTCTAAACTGTGTTGGATAATTAAGACAGAACTGACTCACGTTATGTCTAAACTGTGTTGGATAATTAAGACAGAACTGATACATGTTATGTCTAAACTGTGTTGGATAATTAAGACAGAACTGATTCATGTTATGTCTAAACTGTGTTGGATAATTAAGATAGAACTGATTCATGTTATGTCTAAACTGTGTTTGATAATTAAGACAGAACTGATACACGCCATGTTGGATAAACAGTTTTGCTCTTTGTTTGAAAAAACGCTGCATATTTGATCGTACCAAAACAGAGATGTGTTAAAATGGAGTATTCTAAGTGATGTTTTCTTTTAGATTTCTTATGTTTGGTTGTCACTCCATATGTAAATACTACCTTGGCGAGGTCTCATGTTTTCATGGGAAATAGACTTTATTCGCGTGTTTATTTGCCAGGAAACAACGTCTCCGTACTGTGTTACAAGAATGTCTTGCTGATCTGCCTTTTGTGACCGCCGTTCCTTGAACGTTACGACGAGCCAAAGATTAAATATGTTCACATCTAATCGGCTGTGAATGCTCACAACCTTTGCCAATAATCAGTGTACGAAGGCACAAAGGTTTCATGTGGATCCAACGCGCTCATTGATTTCCCAGTCGACGTTTCGAGGTCAACTGCAGCTGTCATTGTGTTTTTATTTGTCGAATTGAGGCAAGTAGCCACATCAAACACATATATTCCGTTATGATTAGCTGTCCCCGATATATAAATGGGGATATCACTTAAGTCCGGATATTTGCCATTTCGAATACACATTATGATAAGTTGTCTACTGGTTTTGTTGAATTTTCTGTCGTATTGAAGTTTTATACGCCAAAGACTCACATATTCAATTCACATTAATCGACTTATAAACATTATCATCTGCAGATTTTCTATAGAAAACGGCGTCCCAACAACGGTTAGAAAACATAAATTGTAGTGCTTTATCATAATGTACACGACATACTAAAAAACTCTGAAAAAGAATAATGATTTTTTTTATGTTGCGATGACAAATTTCGAACACCACAACAACTACAGGCCACCTTTACCTTTTTAAGAAATCCGACGTTCACCCATTCGTTTTCGTCCTTCCATTTGCCTTTCACATTCAACTCATTATGTTCCGGGTCTATTTGATAAAACGGTATTTGCACAATTATGTTCTTCTTCAAAGTTTGAAGAGTTGATGTCAACACAAAAATTTCACTGGTCATATGTTCGTATGTTGTAAGGACAGGACAGTGGCGCCATCTTTGTGCAGGTGGCGCCACTTGACATGTTATAGAGTCTTTCTTTCCAAATAGACCTTCCGGCACAACTAGCTTAGCTCCGACAGGCAACCCATAGCTGCCTCCCTTCTTCCCGGGAGTATAAGTCACTTTCAAACTGGAAATAAACCAAAATTCACGTATAAAGAGGAAATTTTAACATTGACATCAGTATACAAGCTACTTGTGTTGGTATATAACTGTTTTATCATGACCTGTAATAGGTATCAACACAATACGATTTCATAACCAGCATAATAAAATGTGCCTATTTATAACGAAAGTGTCTTGGAGGAGAGAAAAAATGGTTGGCCGACCACCGACGTTGACATGCAACGCTTCTTCGGAGACAAAATAAAACACACAAAAAGTGCGTTAATCTTTCTCGAGAAAAAAAGTGATGAATCATTTGGAATCACATGGTAACGAGGTTCAACGAAAATTTGCAATGAACCAACCCGGAAGTATAATTTACTGGTGGCTTCTTTATAGGTCGGTTTGACATAATAGCATAAATAATATATGACGTCATCAAAGTAGCAATCACTTGACCTGCATTAGGTGATTTACGTCACTTGGAGTCAATCTGAGTTGAAACAATAAAAACCGCTTTTGACAATGTTTGTCTATAGCGATAAGTGTTTCTTATCTAATAAATCAAGCTTGTTATAATGTTGGATTTTTACTGCTATAAAATGTGTATTATATGATGTCATTACATTGAAGGGCTCTCGTCAGTGCACACATGGTGTCATTCTGTGCGTCATCCTCCGTTCACCATTAGGACAGTGCGGTATTCCCTATGTCATTGTTCACATGGCAACCGTCCATACTTACTGGGGGTCATCCTCCGGCTAGCCGTTCACCTGACAACCGTTCATACTTACTGGGGGTCATTCTCCGGCTAGCCGTTCACCTGACAACCGGTCAAACTTACTGTGGGTCATTCTCCGGTTCACCGTTCACATGACAACCGTCCATACTTACTGGGGGTCATTCTCCGGCTAGCCGTTCACCTGACAACCGTTCATACTTACTGGGGGTCATTCTCCGGCTCACCGTTCACATGACAACCCTTCATACTTACTGGGGGTCATCATCCAGTTCACCGTTCACCTGACAATCGTTCATACTTACTGGGGGTCATTCTCCAGTTCACCGTTCACCTGACAACCGTTCATACTTACTGTGGGTCATTCTCCGGTTCACCGTTCACATGACAACCGTCCATACTTACTGGGGGTCGTTCTCCGGCTAGCCGTTCACCTGACAACCGTTCATACTTACTGGGGGTCATTCTCCGGCTAACCGTTCACCTGACAACCGTTCATACTTACTGGGGGTCATTCTCCGGCTCACCGTTCACATGACAACCCTTCATACTTACTGGGGGTCATCATCCAGCTCACCGTTCACCTGACAACCGTTCATACTTACTGGGGGTCATCATCCAGCTCACCGTTCACATGACAACCCTTCATACTTACTGGGGGTCATCATCCAGTTCACCGTTCACCTGACAACCGTTCATACTTACTGGGGGTAATCATCCAGTTCAACGTTCACATGACAACCGTCCATACTTACTGAGGGTCATCATCCAGTTCACCGTTCACCTGGCAATCGTTAGATACGTCCTTGTTCTTCATGCTTCCCGGGTTTTCGGACCTGTGATGGGAGAACACAATTTATTGTCACACTTAAATAACACGAATATTTCATAACACATATTCACAATCAAAATTTTTTTGATCAAACGGCCGCTAACTGCTTACTTGCCTCTTAAAACTTGCTGAAAAAGTGTTTGATAAGGTGATTTACACATGACAATATACCACATTTGTTGTACTCACCATAGTAACCGGACCTACTCACCTCTAACACAAAGTATTGCACATAAGAATATACATTCAACATAAACCTATAGATATATATTGTACACAAAGTTTTCAGTTTACTGTAGAAATTACACATTGTCGAACAGTCAATGGATTAATCTATGTATATGAATGAAGTGTAGATTAAGTCTGATTTTCGGTAGTATTAGAAATACTATCACGTAGTGACATGTTAGAAAGGTCATACATGTACCAGCTTACCCGGGTTAATAATAGACACATAGAAACAATTTAAAAAGCAATTAAAATAATAATGTAAAATATATTTTTATCGTCAAAATTTTCTGCCAATAGTATTTCGATCACCTATCTGGTGTTAAAGGAATGAATAAACGAATAACATTATGATTGAAGGTTTTTTATATGATTAGGTAGTACTGATTTCTCATCCTCCATACCTCAGGGGTCACGATCACTTTCGATCACCCCCTGTAACATGTTATGGCAAAATTGAAGGTTCCACATCTGCGACCGTGTGTGGCCGGGGTCGCATAACGTTATATCGTACTGGCTTTGAAGTTGGGTGTCGCTCCTTAGTTGTCTTCAAAGGAGCGTGTCAGTCTGTGATTGGTCAGCTTTTCGCTCTTGAAACCCACCAGTCAAATTACTTTGCTTGTTTCTTCAATTTTCGAGGATGGTTCCATCGGAGGAGAAGTGATAGTGAGTGTAACCCTTGAAGTATCGAGGATGGTCACATGGGTTTAGAGGCGATAGTGAGTGTAACCCCTGGAGTATCGAGGAGGAACCAATGGGTGGAGTGGCGATAGTGAGTGTAACCCTTGAAGTATCGAGGATGGTTCCATGAGTAGTGAGAGCGATAGTGAGTATAACCCCTGGAGGATCGAGGATGGTTCCAGAGGTGTAGAGAGCTGGAAATGTTCCAGGGGTGGAGAGAGTGACAGTGAATGTAACCCCTGGAGTATCGAGGATGGTTCCAGGGATGGAGAGAGTGACAGTGAATGTAACCTCTGGAGTATCCAGGATAGTTCCAGGGATGGAGAGAGCGACAGTGAGTGTAGCCCCTGGGTATCGATGATAGTTCCATGGGTGGAGAGTGATATCGAGGATGGTTCCATAGGTGGAGAGGCGATAGTGAGTGTAACCCCTGGAGTATCGAGGATGGTTCCATCGGAGGAGAAGTGATAGTGAGTGTAACCCTTGAAGTATCGAGGATGGTCACATGGGTTTAGAGGCGATAGTGAGTGTAACCCCTGGAGTATCGAGGAGGAACCAATGGGTGGAGTGGCGATAGTGAGTGTAACCCTTGAAGTATCGAGGATGGTTCCATGAGTAGTGAGAGCGATAGTGAGTATAACCCCTGGAGTATCGAGGATGGTTCCATCGGAGGAGAAGTGATAGTGAGTGTAACCCCTGGAGTATCGAGGATGGTTCCATGGGTGGAGAGGCGATAGTGAGTGTAACCCCTGGAGTATCGAGGATGGTTCCATGGGTGGAGAGGCGATAGTGAGTGTAACCCCTGGAGTATCGAGGATGGTTCCATGAGTAGTGAGAGTGATAGTGAGTGTAACCCCTGGAGGATCGAGGATGGTTCCATGAGTAGTGAGAGTGATAGTGAGTGTAACCCCTGGAGGATCGAGGATGGTTCCATGAGTAGTGAGACCAGTTCGTGAATCAGAAAGAAAAAAGAGAAAACTAGTATCCCGACACATGCTGTGTTCCCTTATTCCCTTATTATGAAATACTCAACAATTGGAATGACTAAGAAATTATTTTGAAATGTAGGGTAAGGATACGTAATTACACACAGAGCATAAATTCGCACACTTAGTGGTTTTCTTCTGTTTCATTCAACTAGCCGTAGATTATGCATTTTCGTTTATTTTCCGCGTTAAGCTAGATCTCAGTCGTGCTTTTTCTGTTCTAAATAAAGCACTTCCGATTAACCTCGTTTTGAAAACGAAACTTGACCTTTATGGCTGTCGTCAAAGAAAATGAACATCCGGTAATCAATTATCAAACCAATTAACTTAGGGATTTCCAAATATTAAGAGAGAATATCGTGTCATCGGATTATGATTAAAATTATATTTAGTTTTAAATGAATTTTGATTTTCTTTCAATGAAGTGAAAGTACAATGGCGAAAAGTTGATATTTTTCAATGAGGTGGAATATATTGGCTTTATCTAAGATTAGAAGTTTTGGTATACAAGACGTTTGAAAACCTTGCATAATAACAAAAAATAAGCAGGCTTGGTGAGTGTGCGAAAGTGCGTTCCCGCTCGTCTTCAAATCAGGAAGCAAACGGTATTTAATAACAACGCCTGCGCGTGTTACAGAGCATTTGTACATCTAACCATGTAGGATAATAAATAAATAAATATGACAAAAGCGAATTTAAATGCATACCAAAATTGTGCGAAATCACGTACCTTCAATCTACATCGTGTCTAGTCGTAAGAAAATCAAGTCCTATCAAAGGTGATATTTTCTATCAGACGTACAAGTCGAGCGGACTCTAGGAAGATACACCGCTCTGACTATCTTTTTTTCTTTTTTTGAGAACGTGGCATCTCTTTGAGATTACCTATATTGAAGACGATGGCAAGGTAGATGTTTGCTTAATACTTGGTGTTATTCGTCTTGGAATAATTAATTTACTTGTGTGTCTTTGTACAATTTTCAAGGCTCATGTCATTTGATTATATATTGCTAACATTTTAACGAGGACATTGAATTGGTACTAACACGCTGGTATTACAATATCCCTTTACTATTATTGATTCTGTTACGACTAGACAAACTGGAATAAAATTCTATTTACCCAACAAAACATTACTACACAATGACGTTTTAAATATCTAGAATCTAATACCCTTTACACATTGTATGTAGCATGTTTATTCATTAAACCACATTTATCATTATTAGAAGAGCAAACATCAGAACGGTTAAAGGAGACCAGACACCAGATAGGCTAGCCAATATTTGATACTAGGTATCCTTACAAATCGTCAGGAATGGACTCTCCGTCAGAATATTCTAACATGGGAATGGCCACTTGGAGTGTGCCTCCCCAAAGTGAGTCGCCCCTCATGCCGGTCTGTGAATAAACACAATCAATGTTGTAGATCAGAGCGTCACACATTAACTCAATTAACTTTCGGATTTTCTCGTGTTTTATGCACTAATACTTATGTTTTTTTCATTCTTAATGTTTTTTCTAAGGTCAAGATTTAAAAGTGGTTGTGTTGTTGGCATTAGGTTACTGGTTCAGAAGGTTATATATCTGGTTATACTTCATTTAAGTTGGTGATTTACGGTAGTAACACCGCGCTGTTTATGTTATTGTAATGACCATTAGTGTGACGTCAGCGACTTTAAACCCGATAGGTATCTGTCATATTTCTTCCGCACTAGAAATCACCAACAGACACTTGGATTGCTCTTCTACATTTCAATATCACATTTATATAACAAAACCGTCCGACAAATAGAACTATATTAAGATTTCTATCAATAAAGATTGGAGTTGGCAGAGTTATAACCTGCCGATTGACACGGTGTACACGTCTAACGTTCACAATATAGCATGGCGGACACTTTTTCTTTGTACCAAGTTACCAAACAGGTACACTATAATACGTCGTTATAGTCTCCGTCTCCATATCAATATACAATCTCTGGCGGGAGACAAAACCTGAATGCTTAATTAGCATTATTTAACTATGCCATAATAAAGAATAACTTACTCGTCCGGCACCAATATATGATTGGCAACATTTTAGTCGGCTGAAATTGACTTTAACTGTTTTCTCTGTTCAACTCAAAAAAAATAATAAATCTGCCTTTTACATATGATGACTATATCATATAGAGACTAAATAAGCTGGTGGTGACTATGTGATTTCCTGTAGTTTAAACAACTGTACAGCGGTGAAAAAAAACCACTGAAACACCAGGAGTTTACACGACTTCCTTCATAAAACCTTTATAAAGAAGTGTAATTCGTTGGTCTACACACAATAACACGACTAAAGAGAATAATTACACCTTCTTAGGTGTTCGTGTCAGAACCATAATTGAGCAGTAAATTACGAGATCTGATCAAGAGAATAGATGTCTTTTCTTTGTTATAAAGAGGAACATTTCAAACGGTGTTGAGTTACAGTGTCCACGAACAATTTCACAAGTAAAGACCTAACTCTCAAAATCTATATCGGGGATTTTCTTCGGGCCCCTCACACTACAGGAACTACTGTTATAAGTTGTTATCATAAATATCATTCTTTAAACACTATCAATCATATCTACATTTATAAACAACTTATCCCACGCCAATACCAAAATGCCACTTAAGCGGGAAATTTTATTTCTTTCCCGATAAATACCTAGGTATCCGAAGTTTTATATACATGAAATATAAATTCCTATTGTTAATATCGGTAAAATCAAATTCTCCATATGAAAACTATAAATAAATGTTCTTTTTATTAAATAACAAAATCAAGATCTTTCTTTGATATAGTAAAAAATTAAGTTTGTGTATTTAAAATTCCAATCGTTGAAATTCGACTCATGTATATAAAGTTTTATAAATATAGGTAGTTATCTTAAATAACACTCTTTAAATACTATCAACTTGATGTTGTCTTTAGCTAAATTGTCCTATTTGACGTGAATTTGTAGTTTCGTGTGGGTGCGTAAGGTTGTGTCAGAGTAAAACCTACTTGGTTCATAATGGCTAATATCAAATAAACACCACACTTAAAATAGTTCCGAATTGAATGTATCACTAGGTTTGGTTAACA